GAGAGAGAGAGAGAGAGAGAGAGAGAGTGAAGGAACGGCGCAGAGGATGACGGAGGCGAAAAGAAAGTGGGTGGCGGTGTGGGAAATTCGGCTGCCCAAATAAAAGAAACTGCGACCGAGCGAGAAGATGCTGCAGCGAGAAGGTGGTACCGCGTAAAGGTGGTACCCCGGATCGCAGAGTGGTAGAAGAGATCGGTGTAGGTGTCACAGCGTCGAAAGGTGAAAAAGCGCGCGACTCGATGCTGAGAAAGCACCGTGTGGCAGTTCGGTGCAGAAAACGCCGATCCGCGAGGACGATACAACACGAACCGGGGAGATGGCGAACAACCGCGGGGACGATTTCGCCTGGTCAGAAATTCGAGGAGCCGTCGAGTGCTTTCGACGTCGATCCGAGTCGGCGATTTTTCGATCGCGTCGTGAGAACTGCGCTCGTAAATATACGAGCTCGCGCGCTTATGATCGACCTCGCGAACTGTATCCAAAACAGATTTGCGTGAAACAAGAACGTCGAATCGTGATCGTAATACAGCGCCTCTGTAGATTCCTTCCCTTTCGAACAAGCTCCTCAGTTAATTACTACAGATTGGCATTTCCGATTACTTTCATCATTTAGACTTAGACTTTAGAATCTTGAGTAAGAAAATGCCGCAGTCTTAGAAGGAGGGAAAATAGATCATATATCAATTATATGACAGTTGATTATCATTAACGCTAATTTAATGCTCGTATGCCTCGAGATAATAGCTCCCATTAGTCCGTGTCGTTCGGTATAATTAACACTTTGAGTCCGGTGGGGGTACACTGCAAATCCCGTGATAAACGCTCTCTGGATTCGAAGTATTAATCTCTCTCTCTCTCTCTCTCTCTCTCTCTCTCTCTCTCTCTCTCAACGTATGTATATATATAGATATTAATATCCATATTGGAGATTAGTATCGGGGAAGATACAGGTTTTTATTGCCTTATTATTCTTACTGGCACTAAAATGTTGAAATCGCGTGCAGTTGTATCATCTTCCGCCCCAAATTCACCGGGATTCTCTCGAAATCACTCGTCGGCCAATCGATCTATCCGCAATCGTTGACTCGTCGTCGACGACGTATTAGCCCCGCGAGAGTAATTAGAGACTGTTAGATCAAGACGGCACGAACCGCTAAGTCGTCCACACGTAAGATGAATCGTCCGCTCACGCGTCGTCTTCCCTTGTCTCCTCGTTAGTATTTTATCCGCCGGACGGTGTCCGCCGTATTGATGGATCGCAGTAAGCCGGTCCCCTAAATCCCGGCAAGTAGGTCGATCCGACGGATGTGTTTACTTGATAGCTCGGCGGTACTTTGGAAAACGCTGCAAGACAGAAAGACCGCTCACACGCTCGCGCTGGAAAAGTTTTCGTCGAATGTACGCCGACATCCCCCGGACCCGATCTCTCGCATTGGAAAATATGTCCCGATTGTGACTCCCGCGGAGTTCCGTCCGGAGTCGCTGCTCCGTACCGGGTGGACAGATGGAAAGCATCGCGCATTCGTTCGGCGTGGCGCACGTATAGTCTGCGCGGTATCGTTGGTATGCACGGCGCACATGAAATTCCGAGAAACGGTTGTTTTTGAAATACGACGAAAAGTTTGAGGAAAGTTTTATTCGAAACATTCCTCGAAACAGCTGTCGATCGCTTGGTTACCGTTCTTAACCAATTGTATTTTAACATCCCACATATTTACCCAAAAGCATGATTCCTGCACTGAAATTTTCTGCTTTCCCGGTACTGCACGACTGTATTGGCACTCGAAGTATAAAATATAAACTTTATATAACTCTGAAGTTACATAAAGGACAAGTTTGTACGTATACGCTGTTCTATTTCACCTTGCCGTTAGCTCATATTGTTACGTAAGGATCGATAATCTTTTTTTTTTTTTTCTCTACAAAAATTCAATTCGCCGCGGGGATATTCGTTCTGCTGCAGATACGCGAACGCACTTCGTGTCGCGTTAAATTTTTCTTCGATTTCCGCTTGTTCACCCGATATACGAGCGCATGCATACGTGCGGAATAGAATCGAAAACGCTCGGGAAACTTCGACGGTAACGCAGGACAATATGTAAGGACGCGTCTCTCCGCGTTTCCAACAAATATCGACCCATACCTGGACCCATCTCAGCCCGGTTCAGCTAAGAAAAATTTTGAAAAAAGATTTGTCGCTATAAGGAACTACGGAGAAAACCCTTTTCGAACTGCAGTGTCAAGCCGAGTGCAGCGGAGATGTCGATTATTCTTTTTTTTTCTCGTTCATTGTTTGCGCAAAGGTATACGCAACATACTATACCTCACAATTTGTTTGCCGATCGAAATAAAGAGTGGCACAAGTGTACGTACGGTTTTATCTATTCCGGCCGTTTGTTTTAATCTCGTAATGCGTGTTTTCGCGCAACATACGCCGACGAAATATCGTTTCGACGAAATGAACGTTATTGATCCCCTCGCAAATATTTTCGTTGTCGGAGGAAAACTCAGGAAAGACGAGGATTTTAGCGTTGTGATATTTAGATATTCTTTATCATAGATTTGCAATTTTCAAAAATTTTTTTACAAAAAGAATTTGCAGAAATTTTGGAAGGAAAAAAAGAAGCAAAATAAATAAATATCATAAATTGTAAGAATAATAAGTTGCAGAAGACCTATTTATTTAATTTTTAGATTTTTAATTAGAAAATATGTTACTTCTCGTGCAAATTATTTCTTAGTATTATTTAATATAATAGCTAAATTCAACAATCATCTTTAAATCTTCTTGAGAGTGAATGTAAAAATTTTGTACTAGATTTACAATTATTTAAGTTCCGATAATTTTATAATTTTATAAGCATTTACATAAATCTAATGAAATTGTATAACGCATATTAAAAGCTTTGTAATACCCTTATTAAAAGCTTTTTTCAAGTTAAATCTCGTAGTCTGAAATGATAATACAAGTATATACGAGTCCTTCCCTGCTTTAACAATGTCGCGGTTCTTTGTTAGTAAGTACGCACAAAAGAAAACTTGTGTGTGCCAGAGAGAGAAAATCTTGTGACAGCTTTATATCCAGGACTACCATAATACGCGAGGAACGCTGGCAGCGAAAATGACTTTAATCCTTCTTAACCGAGCCCTGCGCCCGTCTGACCCGTGACTTTCCTATACTACTGAATCTCCTCTTGCAGGTCTCCGCGCGAACGACGTGCGGTCTACGCTGACAAAACTAATTAAGGCAATTAGTCCAATCATTAATTCGCGATCGAAACATTCGATCTAATTTCATCGCTTTCGTACGAGCCGTTTTACAAACACGCGAGCGTTTTTCTTCGCTCGCGAGACTCCCTCGGAATCTCCCCTTATTATCTCCGCCATTCGAAGCGCGTTTCTCGCGCGCTCACGGCGACAATATAATTACTACGTCCCACGCGTCCCACGTAGGTGTGTGTAATTAACCTACAACCGACAGCG